ATCGTGAAACTTGCGTATAATGAATGTTTTACGGCGTTATATTCCTTAGGTGTTCCTCCGTAAACAGAAGCAGGCCCTCCTTCACTGCCCCACCGTCTTCAGAATATGACGTCATCTGCCGTCACCGTCGAGCTCAACGAGGCTTACCGTAATCGCTCCGGCCTGAAGCTGCACAAATTTCTTCAATGAATTAACTGTTGAATAGCTTCCAGAGACATTAGCTGTGACTATGCAAACCGCTTTTGACCAGCGTTTCAGAGACGTCGTAATCGTCTATGGTACCTCGACGACCTCGTTGAGCTCGTACCGTGACCATGTTTCCGTGGGAAAATCTTCTGATGTCGTCGGTGTAGAAGGCTGTTGTGTAGCTTGTTGATAGATTATAACGTGCTCTTCAATATTCAGTTGGGGTCATTTGGTTTGGTTTCGCGACGCGTAAATAATTCCGTTTTGAATGTGAGTGAAGTGTCTCTTTTTTTGGCCACCCCTGTAGAGTGTGGTTTTTATAAATTTGTTTCTCTCGAAAACTGAATCTTTGTGCGTGAGACTACGTACAATGTTGTCCAGGGATCACAACTGACATATGCCTTTTAAAAAAGAATGTAACATCTTTCCGGGAATGATTCCTATAACCATAAAAACGTTGGGTGCTCGTGCCCTTGGAGGGGTGGGAAGCATTCAAGGGAGTGAGCCACTTACAGCACTTGGAGCTAAGCCCCAAGGAGGGATGTAGGATGAGGATGTGAGCAGATAGTGTTCTCGCCAGCAATTATCCTCTCTTCTAGGCTTAGTCCTAGCGTCACCTACCCTCGGTCCTACTTTGAATGTCCCCGCAAAAACATGTGCCCCAAAATTTGCACCACTGAGGCTGCTTTCATACGGTCCCCCCTGCGGACATTGTGGAGGGAGCGAAGAGAGTGGAGAGCGTCAACACGCGCACTTGCGCAAGATGCGGCGGTAGCTTCCGATCAATAATCCCAATTTCGATGCGTTTTTTTTCTTTTTTTGTGATTTTGTGCTCGTCTTGCCTTCCATTCGTGTTTTTTGCTCAACACTTTCTTTTTATCAGAATTGTTCTGTCCTGTAGTCGGTGATGTCTTGATTGGGGGGGGGGGGAGCACGCGGCGGCGCGGCACAATATTCGTCTAGACAGACTTCAAGGCTTAGTCTCAGGGGCAGCACTATTTCTTCATCACGTGGCAATTTCAAAATACGCGCCATAACAACCATAACAACTGGAACTCGCCCTAAGCAAAAATATGTAAGCCTTGGAGGAACACGAACACGAAAAGAGCTCCTCGTCGCCGCGTGGTCTCTCCATCTAAGATAGCATCACGAAGTCTCATGTTGATCTAAATGTGTAATGAAACAATGTGAGACTTCAAAATTTATTGCAAAAGACTAAAACTTTTTACAAAAGAAATTGCAAAAATGTGTGAGTTGCAAAAGTTTTGCAAAAGTTTAGGTCTTTTTTGGCGAGCTTTCGGCGCTTAGCGCCTTTGTCAAGCCTGAAATGGAGTGTGTGAGTAGGAGCTTCTTACGATTGACTCAAAAAGCTAATACTTACTCATTCCATTCCAGGCTCAAAAAAGGCGCTAAGCGCCGAAAGCTCGCCAAAAAGACCTAG